GAGAGAGAGAGAGAGAGAGAGAGAGAGAGAGAGAGAGAGAGAGAGAGAGAGAGAGAGAGAGAGAGAGCTTACCTGCTGTGCCATCTTGCTGGCCCCTGCACACTTTTTTCTGTGTTCTAATGGCTCCATTCTCATCCTGCTTTCTACAAGCCCCATCCAGAACCTTCCCTGGGCCTTCTCTTTTCTTTTTCCCTGCCTTCCTGAACCAGCTCAGAGAAGAGCAGCCGCAGCAGTAACCAAAGGAAGCTTAAATCATGGGAAAATAAAACTTGTGGAAGTTCTGTGGTCTTTGCAAAGAAAAAGTGGAGCCTGGAATACAGATTTGCAAGTAGCCGGTTTAATTTGGAGGGTGATTCTGAGGAAGGACAGACAGGAAAGGGAAGTGATACTGGGCAGCTGGGGCCCAGTCCAACCAGGGTCCTTTTATAGGAACTGTGGAGAATGTTCTGCAAACAAGGAGCTCCAGAAGGAAGAAACATCCATGATTCCTGGCCCTTTTTGGTAGGATGGATGGTGACCTTGCTTTTCTTTCCAGGTGTGAGGATGGATCAGGATGACTCAGGTCATTCAAAAGCTTCCAAGTTCTGCTCTCAGTGCTGGCCACCTTGTTTGTTGAAGCAGAGAAACTGGAGACCCTGGGCTCACTGATTAGGTGACTAGGCAAGGCTGGTGGGCAGCTGAACTCCAGGGATCCCCAGCCCATCTCCACCTCCCCAGCACTAAGATTACAAGAGCATACCATCTCACCCAGCTTTCTTTTTGTAACAAAAAAAAAAAAAACAATTAGATTTGTTCTTTCTTTGACAATTTCACATATGTACATAAATACACACTGACTCTCCCCCTCCCCTTCCCATCTCCCTGACACTCATTACCTCTTCTGCCTTCCCTACAAATCTTTCTCATTTTCACGTGTGTGTGTGTTTTCTTTTGTACAGTCTGAATTTAGCCAGGACTGTTGGTGTGAATTAATTATTTGTTTCAGTCATTCTTTGTATTTTTGCCTCCATTTGATTAATTTCTGCTCTGCTCTTAATTATTTCTCTTCATCTTTGAGTCTGGTTTGTCCTTGTTTTCTCAAGGCTTTAAGGTGTATCATTAAGCTAGTTTTTTAAAATCTCTACTTCTTTTTATATAGGCATTTAGGACTATAAGCTTCCCTCTGTGTTCACTGTGGTTCTTGTTTTAATATGTTATGTTTTCATTTTCATTTAATTCTAGGATCTTTGTTCCTTTCTCGATTTATTCAATGACATATTTACCATTCAACAGTGTATTGCATAATCTCCATGAGTCTGTTTGCTTTCTGTAGTTTCTCTTATTGTTGATATTCAGATTTTTTTTCTGCTGTGGTCAGATAGGATACAAGATATTAATTCAACTGTCATATATTTGTTGGGGCTTGCTTTGTGTCCCAACATGTGGTTGGCTCTGGAGAAAGTTCCGCAAGGTGCTGAGAAAAATGTGTATTATTTAGTCTTTGGGTGGAATGTTCTATAGATGTTTACTGGGTACATTTGTTTTTTTTTAAATATTTATTTATTATGTATACAATATTCTGTCTGTGTGCATGTCTGCAGGCCAGAAGAGGGCACTAGACCTCCCTACAGATGGTTGTGAGCCACCATGTGGTTGCCAGGAATTGAACTCAGGACCTTTGGAAGAGCAAGCAATGCTCTTAACCACTGAGCCATCTCTCCAGCCCCCTACATTTGTTTTTTCGAGATGTCATTTAACTCTAGTTTAGTTTTTGTTCAGAATGACCTGTCTATTGTGAGAGTGGAATGTTGAAATATTACACTGCTGCTGTAGCTTTAAACACAGAAATATTTGTTTGGAGAAATTGGGTGCACCAATGTTTGGTGCATATGTGTTTAAAACTGTACTATCCTCTTACTGGCATGAAGTGCCCCTCTTTATCTTTCTAACTAGTTTTAGTTTGAAGTCTGTTTCATCTGGAATTGCTACATACCTGCTTGTTTTTTAATTACACTTTAATAAAAAACCTTTTTGCATCCTTTTACCCTAAGGTAATATCTGTCCTTGATGATGGAGTGTTTTTCCTGCTGATAGCAAAATGGTGGATCCTGTTTCCTAATTTGGTCTGCTAGTCTGTGTCTTTTTATTGGTGAATTGAGACATTATTATTCGAAATTATTATTGAAAGATGTCTTGTCATTTTGTTGTCATTCTTTGGTTTTATTTTTTATTATTATTATTTATTTATTTATTAAAGATTTCTGCCTCCTCCCCGCCACCACCTCCCATTTCCCTCCCCCTCCCCAATCAAGTCCCCCTCCCTCATGGTTTTATTTTTGTGTTTTGTATATTTTGTTTGTTTGTTTTTAGACTTGCTTTGATGAATTGTCCTGGTATTGTGTATTTATTCCCTACATTCTCTCAGGTATATTTATCTTCCTCTTCAATCTAAAGTATTACTTCTATGTAATTAGAGACTACACCCTCATTTCCCAGCCACCCACACCCAAATAATCACACAAAAACTATATTAATTACAACACTATTTGCCCAATGGCTCAGGCTTATTCCTTGCTAGCTCTTATATATTAAATTAACCCATTTCTTTTATTTTATATTTTACCACAAGGCTTGTGGTTTGTTACCTCACATCTTGCTTCTTGGGCAACTGCACAGCATCTTCCTGACTTCACCCTCTTTCTCACTGCATTCAATTTAGCTTGCCTGCCTGTATCTATTCTGCCGTGCCATAGGCCAAAGCAGCTTCTTTATTAACCAATGATAATAAAGCATATTCATAGCATATAGAGGGGAATACCTCACTTCTGGTATCTTCTGTACAGCTGACTTATAGCCATATACTCCTTTAGTCTGTTTCTGTTGTGGAAAGTTTTTAATTCTCTTTCAAGTTCAGTAGATAGTTTTTCTGATATGGGTAGACAGTTCTGGTCTCTCAGTACATGGGATATAACTTTTCAAGACCTTCTGACTTTAAAAGTTTCCATCCAATAATCAACTATGATTTGATGGGACTGCCTTTACATGGAACTTAACCTTTCTCTCTTGCTGTTTTCATGCCCCTTCCTTAGTCTATGTATTTAATTTTTAACTATCCTAGATAGGTATATATCTCTTTCTCTATATTTGGGAAATTTTCTTCTGTAATTTTATAGCAAATATTAATAATGACCTGGAATTCTTCTCCTTCTATGCCTATAATTCATAGATTTATTCTTTTCATTGTGTATCATTTTTCTGCATATTCCATTCAGAATTCTTTTTAATCTATCATTTTCTTTGATTGAGTGATCAAGCACTGATATTTTTTCTTCTGCATGATTTGTTCTGTGCATGAGAGTTTTAAACTGAGCTTTTTATTATACTGGGTTTTTCATTTCCTACTTCATAATCAGTTTTGGATTTTCTTCAATATTTTTATCGCTTTATTGAATTTGACATTCGTGTCAGGAAGTGTCCTCATTATTGCATTCATCTGTCTGCTTGTGTCTCTTTGGGCTTCAGTCATTTTATTCCTATCCTCCTTAAGTTCTTTCAGGTGTTTGTGTTCTCTCTGAATGCACTGAGCTGGTTAAACATGTGCATGATTTTTCTTTGAGATCTCTCTTGAATTTTGTGTGAGTTGTTCTCCCTGGGGAACATTACTATAGAATTGGTGGCTTTAGGGGGAGGGGACTGTCATCGTGGTTTATTGTATTGTTTGTGGTTTTGCAAGGAGGCTTAGGCATCTGGACTTGGGATGTTGGTTGTCTGAGTTTTCAGTCCACCAAACCAGAATCCCAAAGTGGAGTGGTGAGCTAGGTGGCTTAGAGGAGTCTAAGGGGGTGGAGCCAAGGCAGAGAGGACCAGGAGAGGACAAAGTAGGGCAACTTAAGCTGGGACTGGAAGAACTGCATGGGGAATCTGTGGCACATAGCCCAACGGTAGAACAGGCCTGTTATGGAAGCATCTACCAGGGCAGGATCAAGATGAGGGACTATGTGGAGCAGCTGAGAGGCCTGGAACTTGAGGAAGATGTAGCCAGGGTCTGGGTGAGGGGCAGAGTCACTTACTGGGGCCAGAGGGATCTCAAAGAAAGACTGAGACACACTGGACCAGAGGCAGAAAAGGTTGGAGTTGGAGCAGAGGTGATGTCATTCACGCAGCCTGGGGCCAGACTGAACAAGTAACACCCAGCTTTCTGTATAAGTATTGGGGATCAAACTCGGGTCCTCGGGCTTGTACAGCAAGCACTTCACAGTTAAACTATCATCCCAACCCCTACAAAAACTGAATTTAGACTGAATTGATGTTTGTTTGCTTTCACTGTTTTTTTCTTTTTTAGATTCAAATAGCTAAGACATCATGGATGGCATTATTTACCTTCCAGTATGATTTGAGCCAGGTTTGTCTCCATAACCATTTTCCCTCCACCCTTGCTCTATCTCTTGGCATTGATTTCTCCACTCAGATCCATCCTCAGACAGGCTCTGCTGCACAGTGGTTCTGACAACAGCAAACTTCATGCTACCGACTTAACAACCACAAACACCCCGAGTAAAGCAACTTCATATGTATATTCGTTTCCTGTGGCTTCTAACAACTCACCACATACTGGGAGGCTTAAAACGGCAGAAGTTTGTTCTCTCGTTTCTGGAGGGCAGAAAGCTGAGCTAGGACCCCAGGCAGAGAGCTTCAGTATCCTAAGAGGCAGTTGTGGAGACACCATCATTGCTTCTTCCAGCTTCTGTCAGCAGTCAGCACTCCTTAGCTTGTGGCCACATCACTCCAGTCTGCCTCTATCTCCACATCCTTCTGGGTCTCTCTGGGTGGCTGATATCTTATTTGTTCCCCCAAAAGCTCACTGTTGTGTTGTGTTGAGGGTTGAATGCAGCCATGGTTGGAGGTGAGTGGAGCTTGGGATCATGAGGACTCTGACCTCGTCATTGGATTAGTCCAATGATGGGATGGTGACTGGATGGAATACTGGGGAGTGGAGGGAACTTTAGATGAGGCCTAAATTAGGAAAATCACTGGGGCCTTGACTTCAAATGATATACTGTGCTCTCTCCTCTCCTTTTCTCTGGCTGGACCACTTTTGGACTCTCTCTCTCTCTCTCTCTCTCTCTCTCTCTCTCTCTCTCTCTCTCTCTCTCTCTCTCT